AAAGCAGAATAAATTTAGTGAATCCAGCGAGTACAAAGCGGTGGGTTGCCAAAACGTCAGTTGCTTATTTCAATACAACACACACACACACACACACACACACACACACACACAACACACACACACACACACACACACACACTACACAGTGCACACATGTATGTATATATGATATATATATATATATAACATATATATATAATATATATATATATACAATATATATATATAATATGCATATATATATGCCATACATGTATATATTATAATAAATATAATATAAATATATTATATATATATATATATATATATATATATATATATATATATGTATATATTTATAAAAATATATATAATATATTATATTATATTAATATAATAATATATAAATATAATAATATATATATAAATATTTTGTTTGTGTGTGGTGTGGTGTGTGTGTGTGTGTTGTGTGAGTGTGTGTGTGCGTGTGTGTGTGTGTTTGTAAGAAAGTGTTTGTATTTATGGATATTATGATCGTTATCAAAATACTTTTATAGGAAATGCTGATATTATAAAACTATAATCATGCTGTACGTGCATTAAAAACCGACTTTCATTATATGTATTTATCTTTAGCATTACATACTGAGAGCTCCATTCATTGCATCACAGACCTCTGGCGCTGTCTTCCCGACTTGCTTGAACATCCTGGACATGTCGCGGAGGCTGCCCTACGAAAGCACCTGTTCCCGAAACTCGTAAATTCACATCAAGACGGTGTGTTAGGATATTGCTTGTCCCGGTCGGTGTTCCAGCGTGGGTCGGCCGTTCTCAAGAAGCGCTCCCAGTCAAGAGATGGACATCCGGAAGAAAGTTATGGAACATTCCTCGGTCCCGTACTTGTGTGGCAACAAAGCGGCGTCATTCTTTGCACTATGGCTTCAAAATGATACCCTGCTGCGCGTCCCGTTCCCTTCTGTGCCTGTCTGCTCTGCAGTGAGGATCACGCCCGGAGAATACTGCGGTGGCTGTTTTGATGACCAGATATTACTGCTACTGCTGCAGCTGCTTCCAAGAATGTCCTCAAAACGCCGACATGACGCTAGGGTCCACTGTAGCACGCTTGGACGGTCAGCGCGTCAGCACTCGTTGTCAACACGTCACATGGTTACTGAATACATGTACCGGTCATATGTCTGATGTGTTGTTGTATAGTAGGAAATATTTATAACGGATATGTATATATCGACAGGCTTATATTTATAAAGGATAAAAATTTAAGCAAATTCATCAATTACCTACAAATATTCTTTGGAATTAGATGGCTTCTGTTTACAACGCCAGCAAGTAATTCATCCTAAACCACCGGAACGCAGGCCCATACAGCAACGAGGAAATCAAAACCACGAATAAAGAGACGAAAAAGGGAACCACGAAAAACCTTCTCCTAATTAAACAAATTAAAAAAATACTCTCACATTCCTACGACCTGAACGCCCTCACCAAAGAAATATAAACATTCCTCTATCTTCCTCCTCAACAGTATTCTCGAATCATACCCCAAGTTTCCTCTCTCCATCCCTCCTTCCTTCCTCTTTTCCTTCCTCCCTCTCCTTCATCCCCAAAACCCCGGACAGCGCATCCTTCTACTGTTCTCCCCAAGATGAAAAAATATTGGAGAGACTTCCCAATAGGAGAAATAGTCCAGATATCCAGATTGGGACGAATGCCTGCGCGAAACGGGAAGGTCCAATTACATGGCAGGGAGGCGGATCGGATGTTTCCCTATTTTTGAGAAAGGAAGGGACGGATGTAGATATGACACAATATTTAATATATAATATTACCTCGTTTGTCGCTCTCTTCGTCCCGTCACCACACACACTCACACACACACACACACACACACACACACACACACACACACACACACACATATACACACATACACACAACAAATATATGTACAATGTATAAATGTATATGAATTCATATACGTATATATATATTATAATTATATAAAATATTATATATCTATAATATATATATATATATATATATTAATAATAATATAGTATCTATATATGTGTGTGTGTGTGTGTGGTGTGTGGTGTGTGTGTGATATAGAGAGAGAAGAGAGAGAAAGAGAGAGCGAGAGAGAAGAGAGAGAAAGAGAAAAGAGAGAGAGAAATTTTAGTTCTATCTATCTCTCTATATATCTGTCTGTCTATGTGCCTATCTATCTATCTACATATTCTACTATCTATATGTATGTATGCATATATACCGAAGAGAGAAAGGAGAAGGATAAAGAAGGAGATGGAATGAGTACGAGGGACAGGGAAAGTAAGATAGACAGAGGCATATAGAGAATAAGAGAAAAAGAAAATTAGAGCGAAAGAGAAAGAAAAAGAAAGTTGAACGTGAAAGGAATACAAAAAGAGACGTGAATGCAAAGTGAGCGATATCATTTACAAAGAAAAAAATAATGATAATAAATGAAAATTAAAACGGAAGC